TTATAAATTCAGCTTATAATCTTGAATTTGAATAAGTTTGAGATTAAAGTTCAATTACTATTTGTATTTAATTCATGAAACCTTAAAACTTTAATCTTGTACCATCAAACTTCTCAAGGAATGTAACTCTTGATTTTCTAAAGCTTAAACAATGTTCTACCAAAGAAGAAGTAATATGACTAGGTACAAATGTTGAAGCAACTCTAAAATTTTTTATATCTTTATTTCTACTCAATATTATTGCTCCTTATGGTCATAAATTGAATTGATGCATTGCAAAAGTTAATGCTTTCATTTTTTCTTGCATTTGTGCCAATGTAATTTTTATTTCAAAAATACAACTAAAAAAAAGATGTTTGATGTCACTTAAGATAAGTAGAAGAGACTAAAGAATAAAGGAAATTCTAAAAAAATATTAGTTAGAAGTGAGTAATCTACAACTTCTAATATTCTTTTGTCTTATATATAAAAAAATAAAAATAAAAAATAATAAAATCTGCTCTTAATCAAGAAAAGACAAAGCTTTGATATTACAAATATATTTATAGAAATATACTAAAAATAAGAATTTTAAGAGTGGAAATAAATATGTGAAATATATCTCAAAGAAAGTTGAAAAAAATTGAAAAAGTATTTATATTCAAGAAGAGATTAAAATGACTATTGCCAAATATGACCTCTATTAGCACTCTTTAGGCCATTATCAACATTATTTTAAAACAAAATTATTTAGATAACTTTTAAGATCATTTACATGGCCTTTATTTATCTTTAAGATAATTGAATGTATTTCAAACTCACATGTAAACTCTACTAATATTATATAATCTACCACAAACAACAAATAACCTTTGAGCAAACTCCAAATAGTCTAAAACAATCCTTGCAAAAGTCATAAAATAATCTTATCAATCTTTAAAAAATTACCTAATCAAATCTTTAAAATTTTAGCAAAATCCTAAAGAAATTCTAACTATAATATAATTAGAACTTAATTAAATTATAACTAATTTTAAATTAATTTTTTAAAAATCCTAACCAAATCTTAACTAAATCTTAATCAATCTCTAAAAACATTCTAATGAAATCCTAATTAAGTTCTTTAAAAGTCCTATCTAAATCCAAACTAAATTCTAATCAAACCTTTATCAATCCTAAAAAAATTCTAATTTTTTAAAAATTAATCTTTTTAAATAAAGTGAAATAAAATAAATCAATAAATTATTACTTTCTAATCAATCATTAATTTTATCTATTATTATGCACTAATTTTCAATTCTTAATTATAAAAAAATATAAGATATATAAGAATCATATATACTAAATGAAAGATAAGTCAAAATATTTGTTTGGAGGTTAAGTGGCATTCTTTATTTAATCTAAATGTTAAAGTCCTATTTCTAATAACTCTTTTTTAAAATATTAATTTTCTTTTCACAACATGCATATTCATTAAAATTTATATTTTCTATTACTCTATTAAATTTTACTTGAATCCAATTATAAAAAAAAATTAGATCTTAGAAATCTTTATTAGCTCTTAAAATTTCTAAATTTAAAAATCTTTATCCACTTAAACTCTAATAACTCTTAATGTTCCTATCTAATCAAATTCAAATATATAAAATGCATCTACCACAACTATTCTTATAAACCTATAAAATTTCATCTTAGATATACAATCAAACTTATAAAGTTTTCTTAAATAATAAAGCTTTATATAATCCTAAGTTTGTATACTTTTTACAAAGTTAATACAAATCCAAAACTCTCCATACTAACATTCATAAAAATCTTCTTTAATTTTTACTTTAATCATATTCTCTAAGAAAACAAAGAACCTTGCTTCTATTATAAGTGCATAGTCTTATGCCTTGGGATTTTATTGTTATCAAAGTTTAAAACTAATATTTTGTAGGTAGAAATCTAAGGTTATTTTTATAAATTTTACAAAAAAATATCTTTTTTTAATCTAAAAATGGATGTATTATTATTTTTGTTACTAAATTTTATGTATTTATTTATTTTTGTGGTCCTAAAAAATAAATAAAAGATCTTTTAATAAATAAAAAATAGAATCATACACCAAAAAATTTAGTACCTACCTATCTTTTACCTATAATTTCTAAAGTGATCTTCAACTATTTTTTTAATGAAGCTCTTTTAGATTATTTGTGTCTATTTACTCTTTCACCTAATAGCCATGTTATAACACAATAGTGGAGAAAAAAAACATCAAATTGATATTAAAATATTTTATTTATAGAAAATTTAATAACATCTATTTTTTTATAATATATTTACTTTGCAATCTTTTGTATCACTAGAAAAAAATCTAAGAGTTTATTATATTTTCATAATTTTTGTGTTTAAAATATATCTTAAGCTATTGTGATAAGAAATCATTGCAATTATGTAGTTATTTTTATAATTTATTATATATCATATTTTCTATTTTTTATATTCTATTAGATTCTTTTAAATTTTTCTTTTTGTGTAAATATCATTCTAAAAATCCTTAAACATAACCATATTCTACTAAATGCATATGTGTTACTAGCACGATTATTAAAGAAGAAACTAATATCTTAAATTATTTAAATCTATCTATAATTTTGTAAGATAAAATAATTTTTTTTACATTAAAATATTTATAAGGTTTTTAATTCTCAATATTTAATTCTAGCTTTTAGAATAATTGAGTAAACCAATTCTAAAATTTTATGGCTTTTAAGTAGATTGAAAATCTATAATTAATTTTTTCTTGTTTTTGGAGCAATTAAAAAAGATAAATTTAAAAAATATTAGAATTAGATTATAACTTCCATGCACTTCTTGCAAAACTACTATCTAATATAAATTATACTAATATGGCTTATTTTCTTATTATAAAATGAAATCAAATAGTGTATTTAAATCAAATTTAAAATTTAAAATAATACTAATTAATAGTATCTTTTATTTAGCTTCCATATAATTTAATTATTACATGTCTTTTTTTTATATTTACTATATATATTATTAAATCAAATTTTATATTCTAATAATATATTTTAGAATTATCAAAGACTTATTGTAATATCTTCAAGATGCCTTTACTAATTCTTTTATATATTTTTTTAACTTTTAAAGTATATTAAAGTTTATTGTTTTTTTTAGCTTAAAGAATTATTTAAATAGTCTTTATAAATACCTCTATTAAAATGGATGATTCCGTGAACTTGTTATTAGATCTTATAAAGGACATAAATCTTGATAAAACCTTGAAGAAACAATAAATTTATATATTACTAAAAAACATTAATAAAAGAAGAAATGGTCATAAAGACTAAAATAGCTATTGAAAAAAAGAAAAAAACTAGAGAATCTTGAATTATAACTAGAGTATAAGAAAGGTATTGATGAGATTGAAGATAGTCCCAATTTTGCTTCTATATAAACTAACTATAAAGAAGATGTAATAAACGCTTTTAAAGGATTGTAAGGCTTATTGTCCAATTGTCTAGTTATTGGTCACTTCCAACTTGACTTCCTAAAAGAAAGAAACATGTGGTAAAAGTTTCTATAGCTACATGACATATCTATAATTGTTTGAATATGTAAGCTAAATCTAAGAAATTTTATTAAAGCTTCTTAATAAAAAATCTATCTTTCCAACATGTTTCTAGATACTTCTATTTATTGCTTTAGATTTGAAGAATTACAATTGAAATTAGAAAATAATTATATGTATATATTCATTTAATAAATCTAATCTTTATTAAGAAGGTAGTACATTTCTTTTAATCTTGATTTTCTACATTCTATAAAAATTAATGTAAGATACTTATAAGTCTTTGTATTATTATTTTATATAATATTTGAATTTTTTTACTACTATAAATATATAGTAATTACGACGTCAATTTTTTAAAAAGATATTTAATCATTAAAATATAATATCTTATATAAATAAATAAATCTAAATATATATAACAAATTTATAATTATATTTTAAAAAATATACATATAATAATTATATATAATTTAATTTAAATATACTTTAAAATTGTGAAGATAAAAATGTGAAAAGATTTTTTAATCTCTATTTAAAAGAAATATACTTTGCATAAGTTATATCTTTAAAATACCTTATTTATCCATTTCTTAAAATGCACACACTTATACTTTGAAGTCTTCACTAGTATTATGTTTTTTACAATTTCATTGCACATTAATTTTTACAAAAAATTATAACATCAGTACAAGTTTTAAAACTATGGTATCAAGAATTTAAAATAAAAAAATAAAAAAATACTCTTATAACATTAGATTTTCAACATATATACTTCCATTAGCTTGCATAGTGATTTCAATTACCTAATTTGAAGTATTATAATATTTTCAATTGAAAACCAAGTTCTTAACTTCAAATTTTATATATTTAAATCTAGGTATTGATCAAAAAAATTCTAAGAAAATCATTTCAATCTACAAACATTTTTTCTCATAATATTTTAAGGCTTGAGACACCAAAAAATATTTAAAATCCAAATATTTTATTAAAATGATAAAAAAAATTGATTTGAAAAATTCGATTTTAGATTTTAAAATAAGGTGTTTTATGTCTATATTTCCAACTTATTAATCTATTTGAAGATTTAATAATGTAATTAGAAAAATAAAAAATAAAAAAATGATTTATTTAAGATGATAAAATTAACCCTGTAAATAAAGAACAAAATAATGAAAAAATTAAGATGATAAAATGATGACGTAATGCCATTGACGACAACATATTACATTGGTTCAAGACATTCACACCGTCAGCACATCCCATTTCGCAAGAGTCAGGTGTGAACGGGGAGGTACGAATCAACTCCACAAGCCGTCGATAGGACTTCGTCGATCCAACAACCAGGGACTCATCTCAGCTACTCAAAATAGTGCGGCAAGTCAAATTCAGCGACCAAGTCCACCAACAAAGATCTTCTCCTAGTAAAATTCATTAATTATTTGTGTTGCACGTAGCATCGTTTCGGTGCATTGTATCGCCGATTGTTGGGTTACGGTGACCTCTCTCGAAATCGATACCACGGTGAACAAGAAGAAGAAGACGACGAAGCTTGAGGTCTTAAAGCTGCTTCGTTGGCTTGAGATGTAGTTGTAGTTGTAATTGCGAGGGATGGCCAGCGGGGCCGCCATGGGTGAGATTCCCGGCGTGAGAGATGGCGCTGTGAAAGATGGCGAAGGTGGGGATGGGAAGGGTTCTGGTTTCGATTTGCTGAATTATCTTGGATTCGTGTGGGCTGAACTTTCTGCCACAGAGGTCAGTGGGAGCTTACTCGTCAAGCCAAATTCCTCTCAAGTGAGTGGTCACTGATGCATTCAGTTCTCCTCGCGCCATCCCCACATTCATGCTTCCAGAGATCGAGTGTTGGCGTGTTCTCCGCTTTGTGCCCCGCGTGATTCGTATCGGTAAATTGTTTGATTGAACTTAAGAATCAGAAGCGTTTCATTATACATTTGCGTAGGCAACACAGGGTTTAACCCACGTAACGTATATGTGTGAAATTGTTTTGCTGTATGTGAAACCTGTTGTGAGCAATAATGTAGTAGACGGACCATGTTCTGTTTCGTCCCTGACCACAGTTCTTGTTAGCGCAGCCGTTTGGAGTCCTTCATGGTGGCGTCACAGCGTTTCTGGCCGAATCATTGGCCAGCTTCGGAGCCGGAATTGCTGCTCGCGAGTATGCGGTCTCCGGGCTTGAGCTGTCAATCATTTGCAGTCTGCGCCCATTGGTGCCGAGGACAGAGCTAAGGCGGTTCCACTCCGAGTAGGCAAAAATGTTCAGGTGAGACTGTGGTCTATCCTCCAAATCGTGTATTTAATACCATATATCACATCCCTTTTACCATGTCCTACGATTTGGGTTTTTCCTGTAGGATGAGTGGTGACCTATGCTTCCATGTATTGCAGGTCTGGGATGTCAAATTCACTACTTCCAAATCAAGGGATTCATCACCAAATGAAGCTCAAGAATTCACAACCATCGCGGTTGCACGTCTGATTCTGATTGTAGGACGACCTGCTCCGATTAGATTGCCCAAAGTTTTGGAGGATCTGTTGGCTCTTTCTAGCAGAAGAAAAGCGGAATCGGTGTCCCATGTACCAAAGCTGTAGCAAAGAATGTAACACGATTTCACTTGAAGTGTATCATTCCAAACAGTTTCTCGTGTCATCGTGATGTGTACAACCAATGCGCTGTAAAGAAAATCCTTCATAGGGATGGCCCGAATGATGAATCCTAATCGTGTCTCAACAGTGTGGTGTTCAATCTTCCTGATTCACGTCTTGAAGTGTTGCGGCTTTGAAGGCATCACAAACAAGTTTTCTTTTACGAAACTGCATCGTGTCAATTCTAGCAAATCATCTTGTCTGCAGCCCAATAAATTTGTCCTCCCTTAACCGATATGCTTGAAACCTGCAATAACATACGAGGCTGCTTAATCAGCGCACAGTGGAGCATGAGACTCTCCAAAAGATTTTGTTATAAGGAGATCTCAGAGGATGATGACTGGCAACCTAGACGTGTTCACAGGAAAGGAGGAGATTTTTATGTAACCAGTCCGAGTGATGCATGGTGACGATCATGTCCGAAGCCTAACTCGACCGGTAACAGTGGGAGATTTGCTTAAATGTCACCCTCATCACTTCGTCTGCGAGCCCAGCTCAACTGGACCTCTTCACCACAGTAGCATGCTGCCCTTACACATGGAGCTCGAAGAAGGCAGAATATACCTGCTCTCACTTCCTCGGCTGCTGCCTCATCTTAGCAGCGCATTGTCCTATCCATCGTCATGCCCATGCTTCACTCACCTAGAGGCCACTCAAAATTGGAACGATGACGGCAACCCCAACTCCAAGACTTTCAATGGAGAGCATTCAGGGATGAAGTGTTGGATTGCGACGAGACATGGTCAGTTCCAGGTTGCAGCCAACACAATTTGGATGCTCAAGCACAGAGTAGCCAAGTCGAAAATCATACGATCGTTGGTACGCATGAGCAACTTGAGAATAACATCCTATTGTTTATTTATTTATTTATTTATTAAAGTACTTGGAATTTTATAACAAAATCTCAAAACTATTAAATAAAGAATTTTTACAAATTATCTCATTCTTTTGATGCGTCATTTTTTTACTATTACAGACAAATTCTTGTAATTCATTGTTGTGCACCACTTGTATCAAACTTGAGAAAAAAAACTTGGTAGATTACTAACAAGAATCTATAGCATTAGTGATCATACGGAAAGAGATAAAAATTTATAATTTAAATTAATATTTTTAAAATTAAATAATATTATGTATCATTAGAAATATTAATATATATATATATATATATATACTCTTTTAATTCTCTCTTTATTGATTAATACATCCCAATGTAAAGTTCAAATATTAAATTTAAATTTTATAGAAGTTTCATTTTGGTTAATAAAATCAATATAAAACAAAATAAAAATAAAAATAAATTTTTTTTGCAACAAGGTATAAAAAACTAATAAAATATAGAATATTAAATAGAAATAAGATATTTTCAAATGGCTAGCAAATAAGTTTCTATATATATATATATATATATATATATAAATTGCATACAGGATTTTGTTTGCCTCCAAGTATTTAGAAAAAATTTAAAAAATTAATGTCTTCTAACATCTTACTCATGCTACAATTGTGCAAGTATAAATATCTCAAACAAAAATGTAATTTTTAAAACACTAAATGATAACAAACACATTAACTATAATGAAGGTTGATTGTTAAATTTAATATATTTTATTTATAAAATTAAATTATATTAAATTAAATTTATGAAATTAAATTTGTAACATGTTGAACAACATCTTATGGATTTTATATGCCCTAAGGTTGTGAATTATCATTGAGGAATGTATCAATGACATTATTATAGTTATATTATATTTAACTTAATTGGTGTCATACAAAACTTTATATTCTTGATGGATATTATTTATGCTTTTTAATTACAAACTATTAAAACCATAATTTTTTCATAATATAAAATTTTAAAAACAGTATTTATATTATATATATATATATATATATATATATATATATATGTATATATGTGTGTGTGTGTGTGTGTGTGTGTGTGTTTATGTCAGTGTTTTTTATTTTCTACTTTTACTATATAATTTTAGTAAATGAAAAAGAAAATAAAAAATCTAATTAAATTCTTCTACATTTCTAGTATATTTGTTTTAGAAGTGTACACATATAGTGTTATCATTAATTATTGTATCAGTAGAGAAAGAAAAGAATAAAGGGAAAATATTATTTATACCCCTCAAATATGTTGAAATATCAAGAATATCCCTACATTCTTGATAATAGCAAATGTACCCCTCAAAGTTTTGATAATAGTAAAAATAGCGTTGAATATGAGAATTTGTCTCCAATTTGACAAAGTCACTGGATTCCATTTTTTTTTTGTGCCTTGAATTTTTGGTTTATTCTGCACCCTCGGGCAGCTGCGGCTGTAGCCCCCTCGTCATCCGTCCTCCATCCCCGCAACACCCTTGTCATCCGTCCTCCGTGACACCCTCCACGCACAGACTTCCATCCAAGCATCATGTTCCTGTTTGACGAGGTATTGACTTGATTACCTCTTGGACACTGTCCTCATTCTTCTGTTCATAGCCAGAGCACTAGCGCAGATGACGAAACCTAAAGGTGGTGAATCCTGCACGTAAATGGTGCAGAAACTACAAGTAATTTGTCTACACCATCCCCTTGTCGCGAACTGGGATTCATTGAATTGATCACTGAGCTGATTGCTTTCAATTCATGACATCTATAGTACAACGCCACCTAAAATCACAAATGACGAAATACATTGTGCAACTGAAGGGAACGATCGTCCCTGTCCAACTCAACTATCAAAGATTTTCAAGAATAGGATGAACTAAGGACTTCAATGGGACACAAGGCTGTGCAAGAAAACAAAGAAGGTACTCTTAATTCAGGATTCTTGGTGCTGTAATCAGTTCCCAGAGCCATCGCCACCCATCACGGATCGCACAACGGAGTTGAGAGAATCGGAACTCTAATGCAAATACTCCTTTCAAACAACCGAATGTTTCCATGATTCTCTGAACCCAGGAATTCCATGTATTTCTCCACAAGATCCATGGTCACAGACATTTCTTCTTGAATGATGCTAAGCATCTCAATACTCTAAAGAGACGCTTCCTCTTTCCTTAACTTCCATTCGTATACATCGCGCTTAGAGATTTCATTCACTCTAACTAAGGCATTAACAAGGATTTCTGCTTCCGGCAAAGTAGCTTGTCCTTCCTCATTGTCTCCTTAGCATGGTCACTTCTCTGCCCTTTTCGGTTGCACAGTGTTTTGCAGCTTCTCTCTCAGCCTTCACTTCCTCCATCTGCTTGAGCCACTCACGTGCCGATTCATCCGTTTTCTCTTCGGTCTCCACCAGCAATGCTATCACTTTTTGTAACTCAGTGTCAAATTGATCCACTTGCAACTCTCTGCTTCGAACTTCATCTTCGGTATTTGTGAGAGCTCTGCCAATGCTCTCGATCTCCAGTTCGAGGATGTTCCTTTCATCAAAACAGCATTTCAATTCGCCTTCAACCTGCCTACTATTTTCAATGGTTCATGCAGCTCCATGCGCAATGATATGACAGTGTTGTCCTTATCGTACATTTGAGCCCATAGATTTTCATTTTCATGTTTCATGTTATCAACCTCCTTCTTTAACATTTTGGAGCAGTCTTTTAAAGACCCAGACTTTGAGGTTTCAGTTGGATTGTGGTGTGTCGTGCTTGAAACAGAGGAATTAGTTTAGTGACATTTCTTCGTATCCAGCACCCATTGAGAAGGTTCTCCCCGCAGTGCCTCCAGCTCTGCAAGTAGCAGTTCGTAGTTGACATTTAAAGCCTTTGTTTTGTCATGAAGGTCAATTTCGGTGTCTGCAGCAGATATTAAGGTCCGCGAGGTTGCAAGCGCCATCTGCGATTTTCCCGCGAAGCTCGTCACTTCTACAAGATCGAGGGAGTCTCTAGATAGCATTGGTTGGAGTCATGCATCAGTTGGACATGCAGACCAGCACTGTCACTCAATAATTGTTTGGCCGCATCTGTGCTGCGATGGAAAACTAGGGGACATCACAATCTTGCTTGAACAGTCCACGCGAGCGCTGCGGAGGTGGATGGAGGGCGATGGATGACGAGGAGGCTGCAGCTGCCCGAGGGTGCAGTACGAACAAAAAATTCAAGGCACATCATATAAAACACAAAAAATAATAGAATCCATTGTCTTTTGTGAGATTGGAGATATTATACTCAATCTCCAATCTTTTGATACTTTTGATAATATCAAAAGTATTGATGGGTAGATTTGATATTATCAAGAGTTTAAAGGTATTTTTGATATTTTAACATATTAGGGGGGTGTAAATGATACTCTCCCAAGAGTAAAATTTTAGAGTGTATTTATTTTAGAATTGCATTATTTAATAAGAAATTATTATATTCGATTGTGGGTAAGTAGAATTTACGCATACAAATGATCTTCAAGGTACATTTGAAAGATTCTACCAAAGTATTGGTATTGGTATAACTCACTAAACTTAGATTTCAGAGGTTCACGGCGCATGTTTCAATACATGTCAGGATAGTTGTCTGAGTAGACATCAACATTAACATGTTACTTAACATCAATAGATTTTAGATCAAGTATTGAATATTAATTACGGCTTTTTTAAATAAGTTCATTCTATTTCGAAACGGCCTATTGATAGTTTAGGAGAATATCTAGAATTAGGAGTTTGTTTCTCGGTAGTTCTGCCAGAAATGGACCGATTAACTTTTGAAGATATTTCAACAATTGTATTTTCACAAAGTTATAGGTAGATCGAAATGGTACCACTTTTAAACAGACTTGTTCATAATGACATTTACTTAAGTATCTTGCAGGAACTCTGTGTGCTAAAAGTCACGGTGTTCTTGCGGGTTGGCTGTGCGAGCGAACTGGTTAATACAATTGAGCTCAATTAGACGCGCGCTTAATTTCCTAGGATTCCCGACGACTGGTTAGTACTAGGAGTTACAGATCAATGTCGTTCGTAGTAGCAACATCCAACAACTGGCCACTTAGGTGCACAAGTCAGAGATTTGTAAGTAATGGCCCCCACTTAAATACCCCTAAGAAAGTGTCTAAGCAATGCAACAAGCCTAGGGTTAGAACACAGAGTCGACACAATTCCGATACGGTGGTGGTGTTATCAAACACCATTGCATCGCAGATCAACAGGACTACCTCCGCCTCAAGCCCGCTCTCCTCTGATACGACGAGCAAGTTGGATGTCCTTTGGCATGATGGTCACCCGCTTCGCGTGAATAGCGCACAGATTCGTATCCTCAAACAAACCAACCAAATACGCCTCCGACGCCTCTTGCAAGGCCAGCACCGCGGAGCTTTGGAATCGGAGATCTGTCTTGAAGTCCTGCGCAATCTCACGCACCAACCGCTGGAAGGGCAGCTTACGAATCAATAGCTCCGTCGACTTCTGGTATTTGCGGATCTCTCGTAGGGCCACCGTCCCGGGCCTGTAGCGATGAGGCTTCTTCACACCTCCTGTAGCCGGCGCAGACTTGCGGGCTGCCTTGGTCGCCAGCTGCTTCCGGGGCGCCTTGCCTCCAGTGGACTTCCTGGCAGTTTGCTTGGTGCGCGCCATATCTAACTTCCGAAACCCTAAACGCACGAACTTTAGAACAAAATGACACAGGAAGGCACCTAAAGCGACTGAAGTTGACAGCGAAAGACAGTACAGAGATAAGAGAGCAAGTAAAGGAGGATGGTGTAGAAAGGGGGGGGCTTCCGTCTACTTATGTGAGGAGGGCGGGTGATGGACTGGTGGTGAAAGAGACCACCGCCCAGCGCGGGAATTTTGAGCGGGAAGTTCGAACAGGGTCTTTGCTTTTTGGCGCGATTCCGAAGCTATGACCGAACCTGAGATTGGGGTCGAACCTGATTGGGGTTGGCGCGAAGATCAGTGGGCGTAGGTGTGAACGCGAGATCAGCTCCTATCCGTTCCAAGCCAGCTGTTCAGTCTTTTCAAAATGTCATTTAATGTAATGAAATGAGGATTTTAAAGCCATTTTCATTACATATATAAATGTACATATATATATGCTAAAACAAGGAGCTATGGCGAAAATGAACCTATACATAACTCCTCTATATATGGTCATGTACGCTGCCCTTGCCTTGTCTTCAGTATTGATAATCGAAAGCAGACCTTATGCAACTTCGTTGGAGGTGGATTTTGAGGAAATAGTTTTGAAAGTAATATAGATTAGAAAGGGTGACATAACTCAACCACACACAGTGCCTGAACATAGATCTCAAAGTTTGAGGCAAAATTAAGATTGGACGCAAAAGAGTTGGACATACGCCAAAATAGTTTTTGCTTCTGAAGAAAGTCCAGCGCTGCATGGTTCAAGAATATTACTTCTTTCCTAAGATCCTGCAATGCAGTTTACAATCATCCATTCCTGAGCAATGCTACGATTCCATGGAGTACATGAAAGTTTTAAATTTAGTAAAGGCATTTCATAACCAATTGGGTGTACGATTTCTTTTGTAATTTGAATCTATAAACTCCTTGAACGACTCTTCAGCATCACTCTTTCTTTGCACCACCACCATGCGCTTTCGCATTAAGGCCCCTCGTCGTTTTCATTGTTTTTTGGGAAAATATCATACATACCCCTCAAACATGTTGAAATATTAAGAATAACCCTACATTCTTGGTAATAGCAAATGTATCCCTCAAAATTTTGATAATAGCAAAAATACCCTTGAGTAAGACAAGTTACCTCCAATTTGACAAAAGCCCTGGATCATAGATTCCATTACTTTTTTTTTTGTTTTATAGGCAGCACAAATCTTGTGCCTTGAATGTTTTGTTTGTTCTGCACCCTCGGGAAGCTGAGGCAGCAGCCCCCCTAGTCATCCGTCCTCCTTCTCCACAACACCTTCGTCATCCATCCTCCGTCATACCTGAGCCAAGAATTCGCTCTCCCTCCTTCCGCAAACAAGAAGCCGATTACCGTAAGCTTCCCATCATCAGACTTGTGCACCAAGTGGAACTCCAGAGGGAAACTGGAGCAGTGCCAACCTAACAGTGGTTCGCGCGTCTGCAATGAACACACACCGACCTCGTAGTCACAAACTAATTCAATTCCCAAAAAAAACCTGCAACTTCGTGGCAGCATGTCGTGACATACCATTGGTTCATGATTGTGTGCTCGCTGGGCATGTGGATGTGGATCTGGAGGGTTTTTCAGTTGTGGAGGTTTGCGAAGGAGGTGGGGATTGGTCTCGAGTGATAATTTGACTGAGGGAGAAGGTGCGTAGGTTTTGAAGGCTGCCAATGAAGTCGGGAATAGATCCACCAAGAGCTCCGGATGAGATTGTTAGGGTCTGGAGGTAGAAGAGGTCACCGAGGGAGTGAAGAAAGGAGCCGCTGATGCCCGGTAAGCCGACGGTAGGTGGGCCAAGTTACAGCAAGGAGACGCGGTTGAAGCTGCCGACCTTGACGCACTGCAACCCAGCGAATGACTGGCAAGGTTGATTTGTAGTGCAATGACCCATGTGGAGAGAAGCTTCCACCAGGGAGATTGTTCATGGTGGCCTTGGTGGAGCGCAGCGCAAGCATATTAACTGGATGCAGGAGCTGGGCGTGGGTTAGGGGTAGGAGAAGGGATGCGCTCACAATGACGAGGGCCACCACCGCTGGAGAAGATTGATGCCGTGACTCGGGATGAGACCTTTGACGTTTTGTGTAATTTGGTGAGGCCATGTTTGCATGGGGTTGATATAAAAATATAAGGGTCGCTGAAGAGCTCGTTAGTGACTGCAAAACAACGGCAAAGTTTTGCAAATCGGCTCCAGGAGAGGCGCGTGGGTGGATTGCAAATCCCTTGCAACCTGGTCACGACCAATAGCTTCGCGTGATAATAACATGCAGCCAGCTCTGTGTCTTTGTCTTTTTAGATAAATTTCAGATTTAGACAACTGTAATGAACTGTGGCTAATGCTCAAGTAAGGATCAAAACGTCCGCTTTACAAAACTTTGAAACTATCACTTCGCAAGTTGTGTGCATGAACAATGTGAAATTCCAGACCAAGAGCTCTCAACTCCTTGTCAATTCCACAGACAGAAGCGAGGACGGATGACTAAGGCACTGTGGGGAAGGAGGACGGATGACTAGGGAGGCTGCAGCCGCAGCTGCCCGAGAGTGCAAAAGAAACAAAACATTTAGGGCACTAGATTTGTGCTGTATATAAAACAAAAAAAAAGTAACTGAATCTAGGGGCTTTTGTCAAATTGGAAATAACTTATCATTTTGACAAATTGGAAATATGCTATCAAGTGTATTGTTGCTATTATCAAAATTTTGAGGGGTATACTTACTATTATCAATATGAGGGGTATTCTTGATATTTCAATAAATGTAAAGGATATATGATATTTTTCCTTATTTTTTTACCCCCTCAAAGACTAATAATACCACACTTGTTCTTCTAAACCACTTCCACAACTTAATCAAATTCTCACAATTGCACCACACAATCATAATCTCTATGCCAAAACTTTTGTTATTTATTTAGGCCCTTAGTATCTCCACATGTATGCACTACTTCTACTTGCCATGTGATTCATTGGCACCACCATTTATATATTTGGCTCGTTTGCATACCCATGCAAGGTAATCATTGCAATTGCTTGCTATTCATGTACTTTGCCAACAATTTGGAGTAGTGCTACTCTTTATAGAATCATGGCATGAAGCTAGATATCATCTCACATTTGCCAATTCATCTTCTACTATAACATCTTGGAACTTGCACCATAGCCAAGTACCTGAGGATATGTGCACTTATACATGTCTAAATGCACGTTATATGTTAGTATATACATTAGATGTTTCAAAGCATTCAACATAATGTGTACACTATGATTTTATCACATATCAATCTTTTAGCACTTTATAATTATAGATTCAAATTTCAGTGTATAGATACACATATAATCCTTGTTAGTAGAATTTTGTAGATTTTAGCCAAAGTAGGATTGATTAATGTAGTATTCTTAATTATGGTATTGGTATTAGCTTATGCACTACTAAATCTAGGACTCCATGTAAAGTCCAAATAAGTCAATTCATTCAACAATCATGCCTAAAGCATTTCTTTGCTATAGTTGTTTTTATGGACCAAATTTAAAATATATAACATTTATATTTTGATCATCATAGATTGCTTGAGATGGTCAAATTTGCTTATAGTGGTAGCACTTTCAAGCTATTTGAAGATGATTATATTTGCAATAATAGTGAAATATATTCTATTGATGCATTATGAAGCTAAAGAGGTTTAATTGCTTGTATCTTTTAGTTATGCAACATGCTATGAAATTTTTCCTTTAATAAAAAAGTGAAATTGTAAATTAAAGAATGGCAAGTTTGAAAACATTAATTTCTAATGACTCTTATCATTGATATACTTATGTTGTCATCAAATATCATAGCTTTATAAGATATGGCATTTTTCTTAGAGTATTGGATTATATTTATGCTACAAATAAGATATACTTGTCATAAATACTAGGATTTCAGCACTTGACTTATTGTAGCATATGTCAATAGCTTTATTTTTAAAACTTTTTTGCAATGTTTAAAATAAAAAATATTGGAATTTTATATAGTTTGTCATAAAATTCAAGTTACTTTGTATTCCATTAGAAATTTCTTGTGTTAAATTTCTAAGCCTTCTTTGCTTTATTTGTACATTCTTAGTGATATTAAATATCAATACATTGATTGTTACAATGGCAATAGATGCAGCTACTTTCTTCAAAACTTTGTGGTATATTTCAATAATCTTGGTTCTATAGCTCTAGAAATGGTCATGAAAAAATCATACCAACTATATTCAAATACATGGTAATAGCATTATGTCTCATGTGCCATTATAAAAAATATTGCATCCATTCTCTAGTCCATTTAATATGGAATTAGTTCATTCTTTATATTAAAAAATCTGCAAATGTACATCTTCATCTTAATCAACAACTCTAATTCAAGGAAGGCTATTGCTTTTTGCAAGAGCCTTTATAAGCCATGCTATAAGATCTTAAAAAACATAATACAATTGAAAATAGAAAACACAATACAACTTAAAGTACAATACTTTGTACTTGAGCCACAATCTTAGTGAACCAAGAAGCAATTATTGAAATTTGTAGAATTCCAATAACTTTGTTCTTGGAGATTGTAAAGGTCTATATATGGATTTATATATATATATATATATATATATATATATATTGATCATTGTATTAAAACCAATGCACAACCAACAAAATTTCTTACTAAACTATTAAGTAGAATGAAATTTAAAATACAAAAAGAAGCCTTAGAACTTAAAAGTTTATTTTTATTAAATAACAAAGTATAAATAGTTACTAATTCTTACTTTCTTACTTAATAACTATGTAATGATGACAAAGACTATCTTAATTATATGAAGTCTTTTCAACTTTCACCTTTCAAAGTATTAATCAAATAATTTTTAATTCACCAACTTTAATAATTTTATCTACACATCTCTTTTGCCCATCTATTATCAAACATGAATTCACATTACTATTAAGAAGGAATTTTAATTCTAATATCCAAAAAATCTTGCTTGGAAAATTTATCCTAACTTTATTACTAATCTTCAATACCTTGTCTATAATGTTAAGTTGGTATAATATTAGTGCTATCTACTGCACTCTTAGATTTTGGCTCTTGAACACCATAAT